GCATTATTCCACGCTATACCTCCTGCGGACAGTTTATTTGCCCTATCCTACATTCACCTCCATTTGCTCATTCCCGACACTCAATGCATTTTTTATTCCGAATTATTTATCACCTATATTCGAGACAATTGTGCAAATTATCCATGGATTTTGATACCATCGTTACCTACAAGATACATCCACTTGAACCCTGAGACAATCATGAGTCTACTTTCAGATTACCAGTCACACTACCTTTCAGACCACCTGTCATAGCCCCCAGAATACGTGGGATCACCCGCCAGATCAGGATTTAAAAACTGCATAGTATATCTTATTTTTCATGGTATTATTGCTGTTGAAGTGTATTGTCATGTATGCCACTGAACCATTGAATAAACGTAGGATTTTCTTCCCACAGTATTTTATGTTTTTACTTACCAGACTATTTCTAATGAATTTACATTTCAACTTTACTTCACAATTAGTTTTGTATCAGGGAAAATAATTCTAACCAAAAATGCGGCGTAGCCAACGCTGCAAACTTTTAAAAATAGTTTCGTGGTGAAAATTTACTTCATGCCCAGCCTTTTTTCATTTATTTATAGCCGCATCGACGTCTGAGGTCATTACCGACTCAAAGTGGTACCTAGATTTAACAATAGTAAATACATAGTTATTATTTAATAGAGGGTAAAGATGTAGGCGCAATACAAGATTTAACATATTTGGATGTCAGTTAACATATTGTTCGACCGTAATACATTGCTTGGTCAATTTACTTAAGTATTCACATATGTAAGTATTGTGTAGTTAATAACCAGTTACAGACATTCAGATTGATTGCATTTACTCAAACACTCATACTTCAGTAGGTCACAGCATATAATTCTGTAATACACTTAAAACGTACATTGCTAGTATGTTTTTTAAATTAAATTTTGCTGAATACACTTGTCTTTGCAGAATTCTATCACTATGTTGATACCCATTAGACGTAAGAATTTTGTTTTTAATTGTTATTTCTGAATTGACGCAACGCGTCTCTAGTCCCCGGGGTGCGATGAGCGCTTCGCGCTTGGGGGTAATCCTCCATTAATAATCGCGCTATATTTATCATCCTTCATTGCGAGTAATCCTCATTAACATTATCTGTTGTTTAATGTCACGTCTCGTCGCAGTCAGTTGTCGAGAGGATCGCAGGTAACATCTCCGCGTACGCGCCTCCTACTACGCGCTCCTGCGTCACTACCCAGCGACTCGGGCCAAATAACTCGGGGCTCGTATAATGAAAGTATTTTTGTCATGCCCAGCTTTGTTCATATATGGTCTCTCAGTATCAGGCATTGGATTTACCAATGAATCGTAGAAACTGATAATGTTATACTCCCGTTCAAAAGTTCCTAACACCCAATGGCCTTATGTGTTACCTCCATAAGGCGCAAATGCTAAATGCAAACGTGCAGATCATTCCCAATTATTTCCAAAAATTCCATCGCAACATCTTTACAACTACATTTGATTCTTTGCCAGACTTCTTTAACACTTCCATATTTTTCTCCCTTAATTTTGAAGAGATTGAAACTTTACAAACTTGTGTTTACTTCTACTTCTGCAATTGCTCTATTGTTTTTGTATTCGAATCTAGCGTTGCATGCATATCTAACATTAAAAGGCAACTGTTTTGTATCTTTATGTGAATAAGGTGTTGAGTTTAATAGGCATATGTTGTGGATTACATTCATTTGAAAATCAGTGGTTGCACACTTAGGTAAGAAAGTAGAAGTGAGAAGTCCAACATAACCTTGATTCTCTAGCATTACTCAAATTTTTGAATTAACGTGGAATTCACGTTTAGTAAGTTCCAAGGCAATACTGTTCGTAGGTTTTCGTGAATTTTTTTGTTTTTTGTTTTTGAATACGTTAATTCGAATCTAAATTCAATCAAACTGCAGCGCAACTTGCTTGGTAATTCAATTGTTTGCTTAGCGTTATCAACAGTGTTGCCAACGTCGTGAAAGAAATATTTTGCTAAATCGTTATTCGAGTGTTCGTGTTTTATCACTGCCACCTGCATAGATCGATTGGTTGAGGCATTGGTTAAATTCCTGGCATTATCACCAGGATCGCAGCGCTAAAAAACGTTTTTGGCAATTTATTTGAATCTTCTAACCGGATAGAAACACAAATTATCTCTTCTCTATCAAGTGACATACGCGTAGAATGACCTCATACGTCTCGATTGGTGCACGGGAAGTGGTCTAGCCGCCAGACGGAATATCACACATCCGCACATTTAAGATCTACTCGAATACTGTGTACGGATGTATAATTTTTCTTTCTCCTCCAAAATACTTTTTCCTCGTCTCTATAACGTACGTAATGCAAGTACTTGAATTAATTAGCTTTCATTCATCAATTTTATCTTTGAATTTTTTTAAAGGATTGTCTTAAAATATATTGCCCCCGCTTCTGTCCTACGTTTTTTTCTGATTTTATATTCGCATTTTATTTGAAATACACTTCAGAGCCATAGGCCTATTGGGGAACGAGGGCTCTCTAAACATACTCCTAACGAGTGTTTTGCCGAACCGCAAGGTCACTTGGAAGACGACATTCTTCAATTCTCGCATGAAATTTTGTAACTTCAAGTATTGACTTATGAGCAGCAGCATCCTGCAGCTTAGGAACGCTGAGTTAGGCTGACGCGTGCAGGAACTACCCGAGGTGTTGGAGCAGTTCGTTATGCAGTCACAGAGTGAGTTGCGGCAGCTGTCAGCACGCTGAGAACTACATGTTATGTAATCAGTACTCGAATCATTTTCAACACATATCGTTTTCAAATTTTTTTAAAAGCTTGTAAGTATCTGAATCATTTGATAAATGAGTTTTAAGATACGATTTACCCTTTATTGAAAGAAATTGTTCCTGTATACCTAAGCAGCAGTTCAGTAAGACAGTTTTTTTTAGATGTACACACAATGCTTAACTAAAAGTCGACAAACGAAATATAAACATTAATTAAATCGCTGGTGAGGTACATGCTTATAATAATTATATATGGTAAATTAAATGTGGTCTAGTATCAAAAAATGATAATGCTAAAAAAAGTTTCGTTTGCATAGCGATCATCCTCAAAGTTTAAAACTAAATAACAGGAATAAAATTACATTAATATATGAAATTTAGAATGTTATCATTGTATGCGATGTAATGCCTTTCGCTGTAGTGTCGTGCTACTAGCAGCGATGCAGGCAATTACAAATGCTTCCAGTATAGAATGCAAAAAAGTTGAGTTCGCAGGGAAGCTAAGTTCCTGGAGGAGCGTGGTGTGTGAGCGAGGTTTCAAGTACAGAGACCAAGTCCGATGAAGTATGAAAATAAGTTTATTGAAGAAGTAGAGCTGCAGAGCAACGTGAAGTTTACACAGCAAAGTCTGTAGGCTGTCTGCCCGATATCAACGCTACAGGATCCTTATATGGGAAACAGGGAGATTTACGAGCCATTACGCCACCCCCGCCAGAACTCGGCATGCCCTGGACGCAATAAACTGACATAACTGTCAGAGACTTTTGCCTTTTGAAAACTCACAAGATCCCAAACATTCCTGTTTCACGTCTGGATCGTGTTAACGTTGACGGCGTTTGGGGTGCCCAATCACCCATGACCTCAGGCAGGGCGCCTGCTCCAGACACGACCCTAATTTAAACATGTCTGAAGGTGATATTTCTTTCACGTACAGTTTGAAAGAAATATTCATTGTTCTTCTTAAGCAATGCGTACTTCATATGTACGTAGGTGCATTTACCATTACAAATGCAACAATCTGGAATTTTGGAGATATTGCTTATAGAAAGAAACTATGGCTGAAATATCACTTAACCTTATCATACGGACGGAAGTGGACATATTTAAACGTGATTGAAAGCTCACTTAATTCAAGCGCATTTTTCTTTGTTTTTTATTTTTGTTCATAAATAAATCAATATTTTTATTACATGTTTTTGGAGTACGTTCAAGCTGAGCTGTTTTTTGTTTATTCTCAATTTCTATTTGTTGCTTGTTCAGTTATTTTCCCCGTGACTTTCCATCCCCTACAATTCCTCTTCGTAGATTTTTTTTAGAAAAAAAAAATTAAATATGGTAATTTAATTTTTATCAAGCACTTTCATCATTGAATCCAAGGAAACTGCTAATTACTTCCTATAAAACCAACCCACACGCATGAACTATTTTGGCACAGCAAGCAAATGACTTTAGAACAGTTAATTAATGTGCGTTAGTAATAAACAGTTATCACTTCGCCTTTTTGGGGATTACAGTAGAAATTGCGGCAGAACTGAAAGCATCATTAGTTGTCATTAATCTCTTTCAGAGACCCACACAAAAATACTAAAACAATTTTATAGAAAAAACAACATGAAAATTGCAAGGTTTTATTAGAAAGAGCCAAATACAAATTGCAGATATCTTAACATAACAATTTATGCTTATTATATATAATTAGCAACTCTCATTGCACTACTGTTTGAAGTATTTTGCTCTAAGAATTTTAACATTTACTAATGTTTGTAATACAAAAATATGTTTAACATTTGTCAAATCTAACAGAAAACGTTTACTCCCTCACATATAAACTTCGTTTCTTTATCTTGTCTTATTAACTCAGAAGAAAAATCCACAACCCTCTAAAAAAGGAAATTAGTTTGCGGTTGGTGTGATTATTGGTAACACCTATTTTAACAAATATTCGAACAGGATGTTTAGTTCTGTATCAAGTACTTCTAAATTTTTTTAAAAATTTTATTCACCAGAACAATTCCCTATCACTTACAAAACAAAAATATGTCACAGTTGCAGAATAACAGAACTGCAAATAAGGACATTGTTGTAATGAATATACAATAACTATAAATAAAATGTTAAGTCCTAAAATCACGTGTTCAGCTGATCCTGGTATACACGTCTGTTGGTATTTCTTTTTGTTTTATTTTTTATTTAGATACAGAGCGTGAATTCACCCTCTTACACGACGCCGCTGGGGTACACAAGTACTGCCTACCGTGGAGCCGCACCACCCAGGGCCGTCTCCAGTCGATGGAACAATCTCGCCTGGCGAGGGCGTCCTTGCGGGCCACCACCCCTTCGCTCGGCCGCCTAGAACAGCGCAAGCCACCATTGACGTTGCCGTCCCACGCAGATCCTAGCACGTTCCTCCCTCTCGGAAGGGTCATGGAGCGGTCTCCTCTGCAAAACCATGCAAGACCTGTTAATTCAGATCATACGGTCTCGTTATATTGTTATAAGGAGGATATACACAATTTATAAGTTAGTGAAAGTTTATCTTTAAGCGTGGTGTGCGTATCTATGTTGCCTTACTAATCTGCTGCTTCCTGTGAATACAGGTACAACAATTTCGTTCAATAAATGGCGATTTGTTTTCTTACAATTCATTTAGCCACCGGTGCATGCATTAACAAACTTCCGTTCATATTTTAAAAAATGATCTCGGACGACATTTAAGTATTAACTACAGTAGAAATTTAAGTACCTGACCTTGCTTACAGCTCCCGCAACTGAATCTCTGTGTAACGAACTGGCCCAACTTCTCGGGAAGCTCCTCCACGCCTCGCAATCCAACTCCAGCAGTCCCTGATTGGAGAGGATTGCTGCTCTAACTCTAATACTTGTTGCCACACTTTCTGCTAGAACTGAAGTTGCCGTCTTCCAAGTGACCTTGCGGTTCGGCAAACCACTCGTTAGGAGAAGTTTTATGGAGCCCTCCTTCCCCAGTAGGCCTATGGCTCCATAGTGTATTTCAAAGAAAACTCGCATCTAAAAATCAGACGCTAAACCAAGAAATTAAAAAACAATTGAACTCAGAACTGAAAAGGAATCCTTTATCTATTGGAAAATGCCTTTAAAACATATGATGAAAATTTAAAATGAATTACTAAAAACGAAACGTTATAGTTAGAAACTATGACATACGTAGCATATACGAGAAAAATCATTTTGTAGGAGATAGAAAAATCATAAAATCATTAGTAGTCCATAATTGTCTGTTAGAAAACAAATCGAGTAGTAACGTTGAAATTTCAATTCTTAGAAAGTTTTATAAGTAAAAACAAAATACGGAATTAAATAATACAAATATGAAATAACTGCATAAACGTGTCAATACTTCCAACAACAAAAACACCTCCGAAAAATAAGATGTATGCAATTTTTAAACGCTGATAAAAATATTGCTAGTACCAGTATACACAAAATTTGTCTGACATAAACGTTGTTTGATTCCAAATTAATGCAACTGACCGATTCAATACTTCTGGTAGATCAACCCTTACAGTTCAACTACAGCAGTTCCAAATAGAATGTTGCCGCTCGAATAATGCCTGCAGCTTCAATTCTTACAGAACGAGTGAAGTATGCCACCTTCCAAGTGTCCTTGCGATTCGGCAAAATACTCATTAGGAGTTGTCCCTTTCCCTCTAGGACCTCCGGCTCACACGGCCATTTCAAAGAAGATACCATAAAAAAAAGTCAAGACTTTTCCAGAATAAAAAATTACGAACGATAATTAATGAAAAGGAGCATTTCGGGTAAAACTTTTTATATACTATTTTTCGAAAAGCGCTCAGTTAAACTGCTGAAAAGAAAAAACAAGAAAAAAAAGAAGAAAAACACTTTCCTTACTCATCAAATAATGTGTCTAGGCAATTCTGTAGAAATCGTTGTAACACATTCAATTAAATAAGTAAATTTATTTATGTTTAAATACTTATATTTAATAATTTTAAATTTATGTCAAAATTTTAGAACTAAAGAAAACTCACCATCGAAACTTCATAGGGTACACGTTTACATATATAAGAACACAAGCGGAAGCATTATCAATTAAGGGAAACGCCTCTGGGAAAAAAAACAACTAATATTAAAACTGGAAAACAAATAATGAAAAGGAAATCCATGTACAATCCACATTACGTAGGTACATGAGAGAACCGAAGAGAAAAACTTAAAAACATTAGATACAATTTGGTACAAAATTAATTTTGTAAACACCTTTAATTTCAAATTTGTTAAATATGCTGGATGAAAAAAATGGCATTAAGAAAACAATATTCCAAGGCACAAAACATTCAAGGCTAAGTACTTCAACAGCCCAGTCTGTGATAAACTGTATATTTAGAGTGTGCAGGTTTACTTCGTAGTTTGAACCAGCGTGTTATGTGGTATGGACCCGCCTAGGAGTAGTCGTAAAGAGAATTTCTGCAACTTCTCCGATTAAATGTTTCATGAAAAGAACTTGCGATTTGTTTGAATTCTGATCAAATGGGTCAATTACACACTTTACATCCTCATTTGTATACGAACACACGCAGAACGCCTTTTACTACGGGTGGGTTACTCTGGGTTACACAAAAGTATTTCTTAACTGAACAAAAATACCTCGCGCTAACGGGAATCTTACGTTGGTAAAGCTCAGTTGTCGTTTCAATGGACAAAGGTTTACTTGGATCTATCCTTCAAGCAACATTTAGTAAATGTAGAATCCATTCGCTGCGGTTTTCTTAAGAGTATTTTTTTCTACGTCTTCGCAGGGAGAAATACGTAATGTGCCCACATTTGAAACTTTTCGATGGCAGCAGAGGTATATAACGTCGGTTACAAAGGAACACACAATCTGACATCAATGTGTACTCCGTTCACATTGTACACCATGTGAGAAAAAAGTTAAAATAGTACTAACTCCCAATCATTGTGATAGTTTATATTCGCACATTGTCTTTGACAAAAAAAGAACAGGAAGATAATGCAGTATCCTGTAACCGTAAATACTAATAAATTTACCTTACAATATACGAGTTTTAGTTGTATGCAAATAAAATCATCGCCTTAACAGTTCTTACGAACTCAAAGATTAAAGAAATTTTAATTAAAACTGAAATGATCTAGATATTAATTTATCCTGTTCGAGTAGATCAGCAATACTTACAGCCATTACATCACAATATGTAATACTTATCTACATAAAATAAGGAGACAACATGTACATAAAATCAATACACATCTTCCATCATTCCAGAAGATTACCTTTATCCACAGTATTATATCATTTGCAAAAAAAGGTGCCTCCTCAATAATACAGGAAAAAAATACCAATAAAAATCGACGGAAAAGGATCACAAAAAGTAAAGTTCTTCACACATCATTGAAAATGTCATACAGCAATGGGATGTAAATGAAAAATCCAAACAAAATACATATCAATAATTACAATGTCATAAATTATTTAATGATGAATCTAATCATTAGACAGAATGAAATGATGTTTACATGTGTCAGTCCTCATCCTTTCTCAATGCAATCCACGCGTTGTGTTGTTGACCTTCCCAAATATTGTATATTTCGACACACTGAATTAAAACTTCACGTTTCACAATTGCTCTTAAGGTTTTCGCGTACATTTACGCGAGAATATATCGCAAGAGATGACATACATCCCCCATCCATTGCGCCTCATTGGCTTTGAATATCTAAACGCTTTCAAGAAGAAGGAAAAAACAAACAAAAAAAAAACAACTTTGGACAGGCTGCGCGGCGAGGCAATCTACATCTTCAATTTGTTACTGTATTGCAAGGCTGCAGGTTACAGGTTGCAAGTTGCAAGTTCTGGCTACGTGTGGTAGCTCAAGAGAAGCGCCTGCAAGTTAGCGAAAATAAGCACGCGCAATAGCAAAAATGCAGCATTTTTTTCCTATGGTTTTCTCCAACCGACAGCCAGTTACCTTTAAGTTCCGACAGAACGGAAATTCGACCATATACATTACATACCAACACACTTGCGGGTTTCTCTGATCTGGAGTCAGGAGAACGCGACAAACAAATGACAGGCAAGATAACCAACTATGCCCAAGGCAGGACACTAACCCGCATACTTGCGGACCGAAGTGCTGTGTCGGTACACGATCTTAGCCTCCTCGACCATCCTGGTCTGAAAAAAAAACAAAAGGATTCTCGACGCAATTCTTGTCATAATACCCCAAAACATAGGCGACACCAGCGATATGTTTCGTCACAAACACATGTTCTCTGCCGGTCAGGGTAATGCAGTAACTGCGTCAACGCTTGATGCCGCATATCACTTCCGGTTGGGCGCAATCTAACGTCGAGGCGCAGAATGGCGTGGCGTTGGAGGCGCCGCCGATTCGGATCGCCTTTTACACACCGAGTACTGTTACAGTGCCTGAGCTTCAGCACTGCCGTTGCTCCGGGGTCATGCCAATTTCACGCGTTCATTATTGGCTGTACCAAAACAGTAACCATGACTACATCTATCGATGATCTGCTGCGACGAATGCTGTGACCTCAGCAATAAGAGTGCGCAGCGCAAAGGCGCGATATAGCAATCTGCGCGAGAGAGAGATGTACCAAGTTCTGTTCGCAACAGAGCAAAGAACGGTGATTGATGAAGATTGTGTATACTATTGTTTGTTTTTCATTATGAAGAGCAAGCGCTGTTTTTGGTGTAGACCATCACTCGTACCACCACGTGCTGAATTAAAAGACAAGATTTGTCCTCCTTGCGTTTAAAGGACTCACGAAACAAAATACAAGGATTAACACAACAGTAAAAATACATGATTAAAATAGGTTAGATAAAAATGTTGGACTATACAAATCATTAATATAAGTTTGTGAAACCGATTGACATTTTTCCTAATTTCGCACCCAAACAATGTTGAAAAAAACACCTGAAATATTAAAAGTCACATCTAAATTTAACAAAAATTATTCTACATTGTAATATTAAATTTAGTTTTAAAAACCTATAGCGTGAATTACAAAAAACAGAAAAATAATTCAAAAATGTAAGTTTTCATTTTATAAACCTTAAACTTAAACTAATTTTTAAAACACACTTATTCTATCTTGCAGGTATATAGTGGCACATTGACAGTTTACTTTAAGCCAATTGTAGTTCTCACAGAAGTGGTTACCCGTTCTCACAGTGTTGATATAAAGAAAATCAGGAATAAAAGTATATTTTGAACAAAATATTCATTCAGACCTTTCTGAAAACAACCATTGGTGGATATTTTGAAAAATGTCAACAGAAGTCAGAATACATTGGTCATTTTCAAAAATTTAAAGAACGAATATTAATTGGAAAATGGTTATATGGTAAACAAATCAAATGTCTTTATGGAAAATGATCAAACACACACACACAACCTCCACTTTCTTCAATAACACCCCAAAACACATCCGAATAACATAGTGGATATCCACTTAAAAAAGTGGGGATCATTCCAATATAGTTGTGTCCTATACTTATAATTATTCGCCGTTTATAATTGCGGAAAAGTATTCACGTAACGAACATTGAACCGTCATTCTCCATCCCAAATTCTCTAAACCGTCACTCAACCTCCCCTATACCAATTCCATTGACAATGAAGTGCATCACACTGTGATCCACTTCATTGGAAAGTAGATCTACTTCAGTGACATTACATTGAAGTGGACACAGTTTAACCAGAGAATTACGAGAATAATTACGCGTCCTGCACGTAGTAAACGCGATAAAAATAGAGTATAAGTTATTCAAAGGGAAAATGACCAAGCTATAAAAAGCTGCTTGTTAGACTATTTTAAGCACATTTGTGTTACTTCTATAACGCTTTGAACAAAAACAGTCATAAGAAAAAAAAGCAACTCAAAAACTTAAATCGTGCTATAAAAAAAAGAAATTTACTAGACGGAAAAATAAAGATTTTTTCTTACAAAACATGGAAGAGAAATAATAAACTTAATTGTGATTGTTG